GACTGGGATCTTAAAAGCTTGCAAGCAGCCATCTAGATGCAACAATGGGTCTCTCCTCATCCAGAGCAAAGAAGAATGAAGGAAACCAAAGATTCATGGAAGCATTAGTCCAAGCGACTGGTACACCATGTAATCCTCAGCCTAGATGACTTATGAGACCAGAAGAACTAGATGGTGCCTGGCAACCACTGTCAACCACTTGAAGGCAGATCTATGTAGGAGATCCTGGATAGAGTGGGTGAACAATGTGGAACAAAACTCAAAATAATTGGGGGGAAAAAAGGGTTGAAGTTTGCTGGTCTGATAGAACCTGATGGAACCACTGAGACTATGGTCCCTAGCTGCCCTTCAGGTCTGGAATTAAACCCACTCCTGTGGCTTCCAGCCAAACAAAAGACAAGCATATGAGGTGAACATTTATATTAGGTAGATACACTCCCTGGAGAGAACAATCATGGGAGAATAGAAGGGCTGTGTATATACAGGGAGACAGCTCAGGGGACAGGAGTGGATGGAGAGAAGGACACAGGGAAGAGGTAACTATGGGGAGGAAGTGGGAGGGGAATTGTTGCATTGTGGTAAATTGTAGTTAATGTCATGTAGACGAAGTATATGTGAACTGCTCTATGGAAAGTGAATTTGCACTGTAAACTTTCACCCAAATCACGGTTAAAAAAAAAAAAAAGTGCTATCAGGGGCAAGCAACAACAACAACAAAAAAAACAGCCTATGCAAATATATATATATGTATATTTCAAAGTGTATGTAAAACCATGTTCATTTTACTAAATCAAATAGAAAATGAAAAGTATGCATAAAAATAATCTTTAAAGACATAATCCATAAATTGAGATTAAAATCTTATTTTTGCCCAATTATTTAGATTAAGAAAACCACCAAACTGGCACATTTCATATTTGTATAGCATCACTTACAAAAAGCTGGTAAGATTCAATTCACCACTATTGTTTTTAGTTGAAAACAGATAGTCACAAGCTGTTTCTTCTAGGGGATAATTCTGCCGTTGACCAAAAAGTAAAAAATAAGTCCCATGGCATTCACACACCCTACTCAAAATTTTCAAAATGAATGCTGGCTGACCTGCTGCAGGAAAAGGGAGACTGACCAAAAATGAACGTGAGAGAAAAGATCTTCAGATATAGCTACACACACTAGTGACATTTATATAATAAAAGCTATATTTTGCCTCACGACCACATTACATTATTTTAGTAGTTTAAATTGAAATTCAGGCATATAAAAGTTTAACAAATCACATTGCAGTTATGGTATTTAGTATTCCCAAGATAAGACAGAAAAATTATTTTCTAAATAAAAACGCTGTATTTATAATATTTTTTGTGCCTCAAGGTACTTTGGTGGTACAGTGGTAAGGCATTTGGCTGCTAACCAAAAGGTCAGCGGCTCAAACCCACCAGCTGCTCTGCAGAAGAAAGATGAAGCAGTCTGCTTCTGTAAAGATTTCTAGCCTTGGAAACCCAACGTGGGTCGTTATGAGTCTGCAATGACTCGATGGCAGTAAGTTTGGCTTGGTTTTTGTGCCTGAGAGCACAGGCACCCCTTATCTTCAAACATTTATCAGTACCCTTTGAGAAAGCAGGTGACAAGACTTATAAGGCTCATGTTTTTAGCTTTCCTTCAGTTTAATTCTGAGATGAATATGATATAAATCAAATTAAACTAGGTACTTCCCCTCAGAGCATTCTTACTTGGTAACATTTTGCTGTTCCATTTTCTTATGTGTTCTTTACAACACAGGAAGAGCTGACTGTATTTTTATAACATAGACATATAAATACATAAAGATTTATTTTTATAATTTCTCAGCAATGTAGCTATACCAGAAAGATGACTGATAACTTGCCCTTTGTATCAACTCATGACATAAATGGTCTTGAAGTAACCCAGAGTTATTTGAAGAATTCTTGTGACGCTATCACATTAAGTAGGAGCACCAAATTATTTTAGAAAGACAAGCTGTATGTGCACATATATTGTCTTCTTCAATTATTTTAACTGAACAGACATGTAACATGCATAGTTTTACTCACAGTTATCTCATTTAATCTCATGATCATTTTATGAGACTGAGGTTTTATGAAATAAACCGGGGGCTTTTTAAAAAAAAAAAAATCCTGAGCACCCAAAGAAACTCAAGAGTGGATTATCTGGTGACATTAGCTTGCACCTTCCTCTTTGTTTAGTCAAAGATGGCCAAGAACAATGGGTATTTATTTAGCACCTTATTTCTGCTTTTCAATCTGTTTTCTAGCATGATGGCAGCCAAAACAATGATAGTATGACATTAGGGTGATAATTATCACCCTCCTGCGATATCAGTGGCACAGGTCAGGTAGCTCCCAGCTCCCAACTGAAAGGATCGTCAGGTTAAAGTCCACTTGGGTGACAACTGGAATCTGTATAATATCTAGGGTCCAGGCTAGTAGACCAAAGTGTATTTAAACAGCAGTGTTGCTAAGAAAGAAATAGGCAGATAGATAAGATAGATAGATCAATCTTTATTCCTCAGCAGTAACCAAAGACGGAGAGTGCCACACTGGGCAAGTTACCTAATTCATCTGTGCCACAGTTCCCTGATTTGTAAGTGAGGATAACCGTACTTCCTAGGGTTGTGATGGGGATTAGAGTAAAGCTATTATTATTAACTTTAGTTAATGTGTACACTTCTTGTATCGCTAAGGCATATAAAGGTTTACTTCTTAAGGCAATGTGAAAGCCATCAGCATTTTCTTTATTTTCTTATGCTAAACAGCAGCCACTTCTGTAAACATTAACGTTATGAATGGATTGGATTTCAGCGTCACAAACCTTATTGAACCATTCGGGGCTTCTCTTTTTGGCCAGTGATAATGTTGTGGCAAATCCGGCTAGCATTCCCGCTGCAGCAACAGAACCAAGGAAAATTCCACCTGCCAAGAGTTTGGGGCGGGGGAAGAGGGTTGAAAGAACATATATGAAAAACAACTAACTAAACAAACAAAACTGAACTTTAAAAGATGTGCACGTTCAAGTTTCAGGCACTATTTAAGTCCCATTCAAAATGATTTTTTAAATTCAAGAAAGGATAGCTAAGCAGCTCTTGCTGAACGAAGGTAAGTAAGAAGTTGGGAGATAAAAGAAAGAAAGAAATCCTTTGCTGGCCAGTCGATTCCGACTCCCAGCGACCCTGAAGGGCAGAGGAGAGCTGCCCCTAGGGTTTCCAAGGCTGTCTTTCCAGAAGCAGACTGCCACATCGTTCTGGCGGAGCGACCGGTGGATAGAAGCACTGATCCGCTGCACCACCAGGGCTCCTCAAGTAAACGATACAGATGCGAATCTCGCGCGACTGCATGACCTCTGCACCCGGGGTCATTCTGCGGTACCGGCCCATGTGCAGTGACCGGGCGGACGGTCCCGTCCCCTCGTCCCCGGGGGATGTGGAACTGACCGCTGTAGCGCAGATCAGGTTTCTCTCGGGGGAAAAACAAACACAGTAGGAATTAGAAATGAGAGGGCTGCACAAGGAAAACTGCAGAGACCGGGGAATGAGGCCAGGGTAGGAAAGGTGCTCGCAGGACCTGCCCTCGCCCTTGGGAACCTCCACCCCCACTAGGGTGGGTGTGTGTGTGTGGGGGGGTACTGCCCGCTGCAGCGCAGGCCAGGCCCCAGCGAGCATGCTCTGTCACCCGCACCTTTAACCAAGAAAAGCCGGTCGTTCGAGGATTCTGGAGCCTCCATCCGCGAGGCTGACGCGCCTCCACCGGCGCCCTCCGCCTCCATGCTAGAGAATCGACTACTGCGTCCGGCGCCAAATGGGCCCGGGTGGATGCGCGTGCGAGGCGGAGAGAAAGATTCCGCTGCCCCCTCTTCTCCTGTGCAACCTGCGTATGGGTCCGGGTAACGGTCGCTTTCCCCCGTCCTCCAGTCTCCCACCTGTCCCACTGCCGCGGGGAGGAGAAGATGCTGGGGTGCACCCTGAGTCCCCAGCCTAGCGCCAGGACGGGGTCCTTCAAGGCCAGCTCCTGGGAAGGATCGTTTGCCTGCTCCAAGGTGATGATCCTGGGCTCAGATGCTTTGTTTGAAACCCTGCTCAACCCTAACTTCAGGAGGCAGCTTGCTCCAGGGCTCCGGACCCAGCACGCTTTGGGGCCTGGAGTTCAGATTCCTGACCAGTCTCACACTGTCCTAAGATTTGGCCAGTGCTCACATCCCACAATTTTAAGAAGCAGACCCTCGTTTTTCCTCTACTTTTGTGGGAAGTGCGTAACAGTCCTCATTTTAGTTATAAGTGACAGACTTTATCCCTGAAGCAAACCAGTCCATCAGCCCTGTGGGAATGCACCTGCTTCCCACAGTTTCGTTGGGCAGCCTACTGAGGGCGCATGGATGGCCAAGGAGATGAACCGAAATAGTCTGTTCAACCTTCAGAGGAGAGCAGAGGCATTTGTGAGGATTTTCATTTTCTTTATGTTGAGGTGTAATCCATACTGCAGACTGTGGTCTTTAATATTCATCAGTAAGTGCTTCAAGTCATCTTCACGTTCGGCAAGCAAGGTTGTGTCACCTCCATGTCACAGGTTGTTAATGAGGCTTCCTTCAATCCTGATGCCACGTTCTTCTTCATATAGTCCAGCTTCTTGGATTATTTGCTCAGCATACAGATTGAATACGTATGGGGAAAGGATACAACCCTGATGCATACCTTCCCTGATTTTAAACCATGCAAGATTGCCTTGTTCTGTTCAAATGATAGCCCCCTGTACAGGTTCCTCATGAGCACAATTAAGTGTTCTAGAATTCCCATTCTTCTCAATGTTATCCATAATCTATCATGACCCACACAGTCAAATGCTTTTGTATAGTCAATAAAACACAAGTAAACATCTTGCTGGTATTCTTTACTTACAGCCAAGATCCATCTGACATCAGCACTGATATCCCTTGTTCTGCATCCCCTTCTGACTCCGGCTTTCATTTCTGGACATTCCCTGTCAATTTACTGCTGTGGTCATTTTTAAATTATCTTCAGCAAGATTTTACTTGAGTGTAATATTAACAATACTCACTGACAGCATTGTACTTCAGGATAGATCTTGAAACATTCTTTGTAATGATGAATCCAATGCCATTCCTCTTCAATTTGTCGTTCCTGACATAGTAGGTATATGATTGTCTGATTCAAAATGGCCCAAAACAGTCCATTTCAGCTCACTAAGCCTAGGTATATGAATCTTTATGCACCCCATTTCATTTTGACAACTTCCAATTTTCCTAGATTTATACTTCGTACATTCCTTATTCCTATTATTAATGGATGTTTGCAGCTGTTTCTTCCTGTTCTGGTTACCTAGTGCCACTCTGACAATAATATACCACAAATGGGATGGCCTTAACAAACAGGAGTTTATTCTTGCAATTTAGAGGCTTTAAGTCTGAGTTCAAAGTGCCTGGCTGGGTGAAAGTCCCTGAACCTTGGGCTTCAGCTCTGCCTCCTGCTCCTGGCCCACTGAAGCTGGAGGCTTTTCTTCACTCAGCTGCTGGCTGCTGATGCTGACAAGCCCAAGGTTGACAAGTAAAAAGACACAGTCCTGATGTTACTAACCCACACAGCAGGTCATTAATTCAAGTCCATTGAAAGTCCCAAGGTCAGCAGAGCATGGCAGGCTGCTCAACAATGACTCAGCTACATGCAGAGTTCAAGCGTGCCATAAGCTAGAGACCATTCCCAAAGCTGTTACTTATATGCAGGAAGCAGACCACATACCCAAACAGCTACTCAGCTGCTTCCATAGATCCCACCATGGAGTTGATTACCAGTCTCATCATGGGGAATAACTACATTCAGCTGCCCAGCCACTCAACCAGGCCCAGCCAAGTTGACACACAAACTTAACCACCACACTTCCTATTTTGAGTCATGCCTCATCAGCAAAAGGAGGCCCCAAAAGCTTTATTCCATCCACATCATTAAGGTCGGCTCTACTCTAAGGAGGCAGATTTTCCCCAGTTGTATTTTGAGTGCCTTCCCACCTGAGGGGCTCATCTTCCAGGACTATATCAGACGAAGTTTCAGGGCTACTCATAAAGTTTTCCAGTTGTATATCAGACAGTGTTTCACTGCTATTCATAAGGTTTTCACTGGCCAATTCTTTGAGAAGTGGATGGCCTCTTCCTTCTTCTGTGTCTGTCTTGATCTGGAAGCTTCGCTGAAACCTGTCCACCATGGGTGCCCCTGCTGGCATTTGAAATGCCACTTAGTTATCTAGTGCTGCTTTAACAGAGATACCACAAGTGGCTGGCTCTAACAAACAGAACTTTATTCCCTCACAATTCAGAGTACCAGCTCTGGAAGGAGGCTTTCTCTCTGTGTGTACCTCTTGGTCCTAGGATGATCTCAGCGCAGGGACCCTGGGTGCAAAGGACGTCGTCCTCTGCCCCTGGCTCTTCTTTCTTGGTGGTAGTAGGTCCTCACTCTCTGCCTTATTTTCCCTCCTTTGATGTCTTGTAAGATAAAGGATATTTCCAGCCACATCCCACGGAAACTCCCCTTACCTCAGACCAGGGCTGTGATGAGATCAAGGGTGTGTGTCCCACCCTAATCCTCTTACAACTGATTACTTATCACATTGGATCACATCATGGGGCATCATTACATAACTACAACATTGTTGTCGTTATGTGACATCCAATCGGCTCTGACTCATAGCAACCCTATGTACATCAGAGTGAAATACTGCCCAGTCCCGTACCGTCCTCACAATCTTTGCTATGCTTGAGTTTATTGTTGCAGCCACTATGTCACTCCATCTCATTGAAGGTCTTCCCATTTTTCACTGATCCTCTACTTTACCAATGACATCCTTCTCCAGGGAATTGTCCCTTCTGACAACAGAACCAAAGCAAGTGAAATCTGGTCATTCTTGCTTCCAAGGAGTATTCTGGCTGCACTTCTTCCAACATGGATTTGTTCGTTCTTTTGACAGTCAGTGGTATTTTCAGTATTCTTCACCAACACCACAATTCAAAGGCATCAACTCTTCTTTGACCTTCCTTATTCATTGTGCAACTTTCATCCATATGTTGTTATGTTGTTGTTAAGTGCCGTCGAGTCGTTTCCGACTCATAGCGACCCCATGCACAGCAGAACGAAACACTGCCCGATCCCGC